ATTTGGAGGATTAACTGGCAAAACACCATAATATTAGGGATGATACTCATCATGTGTTTTATTTAAATGATATCATATTAATGCCAAATATTATTGCAGTAAAAGCAGCTGCCTAAGTATCTGCATGGATTCTTTTTATTTTATCATTTATATTATCATTTATTTTATTTTATTGTATAAATTCACCTAAAAGTAGGCAGACTGGTCTCTAGTATCTATTTCAGACATTCTTTTTTAAATAGTAGGAGTATTCAGCTCTAAAAATCAGAACCTCTTCAGTAAAGAGTTGAAAATATATAGGGTGAAAAAGAAGATAGCTACCTTGTAAATATCGATAGTCTTTATTATTTTATATTTATTGCTATTCCTGTGTTGCTACAAATATATACATACTTCATATGTCAACTCTATAGTAAAACTGGAGAAGTTTAATCTGCTGTGCCTAAATGTCCTTGCTTCCTTCAGCTACTGATATCTCCAACCCTTGTTTATGGGTCTGCCACAGACATCTTTGATAGCAGCCAGTGATCTCATGACCATTTGTGTTTGTTTCCACTTGACCTCTGAACCCTGAACAGGCATTTGATGACTGGGTTTTTTCCTTTTTCTTTTTAGTTTTTTTCCCCCCTTGGCTTAAGGGAAAAATTTATGGCTTTCAATACCTCCAGAAGTGTCACCAACGGGAGTATGGAGGACCACTGGAGGCAACAAAGTTTCAAAATTAAGATGCCTTTTGGCAGCTCCTGGTGTTTAATGCTGAAGGAGTTCCATCTCCATCACCTGCACTTGCACCACAAAATTGCCATGGACTACCCAATCTTCAAAAAAGAGTTTAAGGATATATGAGCTAAAAGCAACACTGAATTCTGGATGGAAGGCCTTCCACAGATAAAAAAGTGCTTTTCAAATCAGCAACTTCATTGAAAGAACAATTTTCAGCCTTTCTGCACTTATCTCAGCATCTGAGATGGATCAACCAATGCGTAAATACCTTGAGAAGCATACTATAAAAATAAATAAATAAATAAATAAAAAGATAGATAAATAAATAAATAAATAAAGACAAGGAAAGGTCTTCTTTGAAAAGAAAAGCAGTGGAGCACAAGAAAAGTATTCTTAGCTATGATGACTCTGTGGTCTGCTGAGATTAACTGTACCGAACTCTTCTACAGCTCCTTCCTGTTTACCAACATTATCTGTCTTCTCAGCAGTGGGTAGAATACAGCCAGTGATAAGTCAAAACTGCATTGGCTTTATTATAGTAGAGTTTAAACTTCTCTGAACATAGCTGGGGTCAGTGTTAGTGCAGCCAACTTGTGTGTGCACGGTATTCTAGAACAAGACCTGTGTCTTGAGTCTGAAAGAGTCCAACATAATTTTGATACTACAGATAGAGCTAGTATTAGTCTCTGTTAATAGCTCTCCTGATTTCACATGGCACGTGGTTGCCCTAGAAAACAGCCCTGTATATACTTTCCTCTGCTGTTTTATGTGAGTTATTAAATTATTAACGTTTTGGTTTCTTCAATTTGCTTAACAACCTGGTTCACTTGGGCCCTTTTTCTTTCAGATAATCACTGTGGGAGATCTGCTGCACTCTAATGAGTATTACTGGCAGGATTACATGGGGGAAAATGTGAGTGAAATATTTCCTACCAATCCTACAAATAATTTCTTAGGAAATAAGCTCACTCACCCTGTGCTTCAGAATCATCAAGTCATTTATCTCAAGTTTTTAAATAATTCAGAGAAAACCTGACATTTGGATAGCAACTGAACATATTTTTTATGTTATGAGGAAAAGATTAAATTAGAGAAACATGCTGTGATTGAAAGAGCAATAGAGATTGTGGCACTGTTCACCACATACAACTATATTTTGCTAACCAAGCACAGCTTGTAAGTGAGGTATTGCTTCTCTGTGATGCTTGAGGAGTGGGAGAGGACTGCAAAGAGGGAAGTTGCTCATCCCTACCTTGTTTTTCTTCTAGTAACAATCTTTTATTGTTCTACACCAGCAGGGAATTATCTTTCCTGCTAATTTGGTTGGTTTATCTGTCACTAATCTAGCCAAAAGTGCAGATTTGACAGTGAGAGTTTGAGGTCTGGGATCCAAGATAAATTGTGTTTCAGAGCACATATGCATGCATGCATGCAAGTGATTGCTGGGTCCTGGGGAATATGTGGGCAGGGCAATGCAATGGGATCACAGCGGGTGTCCCCCTGAAGGCCTGGGTCCCCAGAGATCCAATAAATGTAGCTACAGCACAGAATAAACACAAAAGGAAAGAGACAATCCGCTCCAGGGCTGGAGAAGGCACTCCTGACACCTGGACATGAGCCCAGATGTTTTGGGAGTTTGAAATGTTCTTTCCTGTTCTCTCAAGAGTACAGTCTCAGCCAGCTGGCTCCCACATAAACAAACACAGACAGACAGTGACACTTTCAAGCTATTAATTAGTCTAACTTTCAGTGTAGTTAATTTCAGAAATTAGTGTCTTTCTGTATCACGGAGCTTAATCATAAACGCTTTGATGAATTAAGGTCTTTTTTTAGTTTTCTTCTTTAGTTATTTCACGGAAGAGAATTTATGAATAGAATCTGACGTTACCCTCTTTCATACACAAATAAATAACTTTTGTAATGTTTACACACCACAGCTAAGAGAAAATATATCTTTTTATTAACCTACTCATTATATCTCAGGTAAAAATAGCTATGAACACTATAAAGTTAAAAACAGATATGCAAGAGCTGAACTTGGTTTCCACATGTTTTTATGTGTATATTTCTCCTTGTCCAGTGCTGCAGCATAATGCTTTACTGACAGTTTTCATTAATCAGTTCCTATTCTAGACATAAATTAATCAGTCTCACAAACAAGAGTCCTCTTTATCACTGCAGTCTTCACATCTTGATTTTTAGACAATTTTTCACAGGGTTATTCATTAATTAGGTCTTTAATTATGGATCAATTAGCAGCTGAATTACAATATTCCTTATACTTTCTCAACTCTTGTAACACTAATATGTTTGCCATCAAGCATGATAGATGTTACATATGCAAGGGGATTTATTACAGATGTATTCCCCTAGCACTTCAGTGAGCTGACTAATTATTCTTCCACTGACAATGAAGCTAATGAAACACTGGACTGATGTCTCTGACAAACATTCATTCTTTTTTTTTTTTTTTTTTTCTACTGGGTATTGCTGAGGAGAGGTCTAATTCTCCTAAGACTGAGAGAGGGATGAGGTATTTGAAATGGGCATGCATTTTGAGGTTGTTTCTTATCAAAGGAAAAACAGCTCAGAAGTGTATAACATATTAGTAAAGGTGTTGAATCTATGCATGTAGCTGTAGTCAGCAGGTGTAAACAATTGTCTTGGGTAGCATACAACAGAGTCCTGGGAAACAAAGTATGTTTTAAGAACTGATTAGAGAGATCCCAGTTAACCTCTCACACACAGACCCATGGCAAAGAAATTTGCATTCTTTGTCACTGAGCAAGACACTGAGGTTTTCATATATGATTAGATGATCTTAATTAAGCATAACATGGCACTCTCAGGTTTCTGAAACTTGTTTTGCATCCATTGTGTTTTTTAACACAATGTTTGATTGACTACTTATTTGTCTTAAGGTTCCTGAACAATTCCCAAGAATTGAGGCTACTATTACTTACCTTTCATGTAGCCTTAGAGGATCTGGCCTTGGAAGTTATCTCTGTGAATGACTACATCATAAATATTATTTTAGACTCTCTGCCTTAACTGACACTAATTAAAAACACACAAAATTTATCATTTTCTTTTTCTCTCTGGGGTGCATTTTGCATGTATTGATCTAAGAATTCAATCCTGCCTCTACTGCAGAAGGAGAATAAAAACCTATGTCTGATCTACAGCAGTCCTATTTCCAGTGTTAGATGCAAGATCATTAGTTGTATAATGAGTAAAACGGTCATAGCTAATTGCAAAGATGTTAAATTCTGTGATTTAAGATGGTAGATAATACAGATAAGCAAGAGATGGTGCTGCTTTCAACTACTCCAGCAGTCAAGTTATTTTAGCTCTAATGGCCCAAACTCCACCATAAATTCATGAGGTGGCATCTGTATTTTATCGTTCTCTCACCACAGCTGTGTCTTTAGTCTTTCCCACAAAACTTTCCCACATCTGTGGCTAGGGGACACAGGTGACATTGACAGCTGGACACCTTCCTTTGGAATAATTCTCCACTTTTACCTTCTGTCTGAGGAGAGCAAAGTGAGTGAAACTCTTTGGTACGATCTACCTCTTTGGCTAACAAGCATTATCATCCATCTCTTATCCTTGAAACTGTGCTCAATTAACTGCTGTTCAGAGGAAGAGAGCTGGTCAGAACCTTTTAACCTAGAAAGTAATACGTCAATGATAGCACATAAATGCTTGTGGTAGCAACAGCAGTAATGACAATATTTGACTTTAAATGATAGGCTGTGCTCTCAAAAGATGTAGCAGGCTGTATTTCCTATGCCAGTTAGATTAACTGTAAGTAGCCTTCAGAAAGTGAAGTTCTATAACTCTTTTTAAATTCTACTGTAGATTTTGACAGACAGCAAAGATAAATGACTGACCTCTCAACTATTTTTTTATGGAAAATCATTCTCACACCAGCATATGTCCTTGAGATGAAATAGCAATGGTTTATTATAACTGAGTCACAGAGTGGAACTTGAAAGGTTTCCTAAATTATAAAGTTTGGATTTGTCACCAGTGTGAATCTATTTACAGGAACTATGCACGGGGTGAATCTCACTCTCTTTAAAGATACCCACCAAACATACTTCCTTGGACTAAATTCTCTCTGCTCCAACTATTTTTCCCATATGCATTAGTTTTTAAAGATCCGCAGCACAACAGGAGCAACCTGAGAGCTACTTCTCACTTTTCCTGCCACTTTCCACCTTGACCCCACACATCTGAAGAAACACATAATGAGCAAAACTGTCACTTACCTTCTACTAAAGAACAAAAGTGTCCAGAGCTCCTGAATGCGCTCTGCAGTTATTCAATGTGGGACACTGAGGTTGTTTATAGCATAGCACAGCCCATGGCCAGCCAGATCTATTTGAATCCTGCAGTGTGACTAGCCTTCCAGATGTACTAATATGCTATATTTGTAAAGTGATAACATGATCTGTGGTCTTACAGCAGAGACACAGGCAGGATAAAGTGTCTGCACTGCATGAGCCAACACAGGATGGAAACAACAGTGCTAGGACAGCATCTCATTTGCTTCAAGGGAAGTGTGACAGAGCTAATATTACTCATGTATATTTGTTGGAAAAGGGCAAGGAGAATAAAAGAAAAATGCATATACAGTCTGAATTCCTCCAGTACAGGCTACCTTTTCCTTTCCACATCCATTCAATTCTGAAATAAATATACACATGTGTACGCAGATTATCACCATGCAGTTTGCATGACTGATTGATTTACAGCAAATTCTGCTTTTTCTTGCTGATAGTGGCTCACGTTTTTTAGAACAATGCTTGTCACTTGTATTCCTGCTTATTGTTAGTGGAACAGAAGGGCAAGGCTGTGGGCAGCCAGAGATCATCTTGCTGCTGGATCAGAATTGACAGGGCAGGGGCTAAGTTCAAGGAGCTGATACCAGCTATGGGCAAAAGAGATGAGTTCTGGCGATGCAAGAGTGAAGATGGACATGGACAAAGAAACTCATCAGGAAGCTCATGGCCCTCCCTGACAATTCAGCATGAATTGTTAACATTTTGTGAGTGTACCTTTGATGAAATAAGCCCATTTCCTTTCTAATTAGAAAATGATGGCAGGGAGGAAGGAAGGAAGGAAGGAAGGAAGGAAGGAAGGAAATTTAAAATTCAGCTTTTCAATTAAAATAGTTTCATATTTTAAGTCTTTTTTTAAAAAAAAACTATCTTTTTCAACAATTTCTGTTTATTTTTCATCCCTGCCAGTAGCAATAACTATTAATTACTGCATCTGGGCTTAGCGTAAGCTTCAGATACTAGTTTTACATTGCTGTGCTTTCAGTGACCTTGCTGAAATCACATCATATTAGAAAGGGAAAGTCATGATCTGTAAGTTTAAATGTTCAATTTTGTCTTCAAGTCTGAAAGACATAGTGTCAAGATTCACTTTGATCCTTTTCAATGCAGTGTGTTTCAAGGTATGGTAACATACCTGAAGGATCCTGCATCACATATCCTTATTCTTCAGTCATCTTAGTCTTCACAAATATCAATAATAAATAGGAATCACCACATCCAATTTTCCTAATATGTGTTTATTTTCTGATAAAACTACCCACAAATTTTCATGGTTTTTTGCCGTATAGCTATATGGATTACTTGCTGTAATTACCTGAGCATTATTAGACTTCAGCCACAAGAGCTGATGATGAAATCATTGAGGAAGACAATACTTTGGAACAGGGAAAGTTCATCCCTTCTTTATCCTAAAGCATGGTGTGTAATTTTCCTTTGGTGCACACTGCCTAGGAAAACATGTTGCTATATTTTTGTTCAGAATGTGACAACATGAAATAATAATTAATTAGCAATTATATTAAGAAAATACTGACCTCCATCTTACTTTTTCAGGATCCATCCCTTGCTGTACTTGTAGGTGTTGCTTTTGGCAAAAGAAGGTAAGATTGTTAAGTGTTTAAATACTGAAATGTGTTTCAGTAACAGAAAGCTGAGCTTGCAGTTAATTCCTTGGCCTTAGCCAAGGATTCATAGATCAGCTAACCTTCCAACTACAATCATAGCTTACCCATGACAAGGAGAGGCTTGAGATATTTGCTGGAAAGGGAATGAGAAAAAAATCAGCTAATGAAGTAGGCATCACCTAAATTTAAAAAAAAAAAAATCCTATTAAAGAAAATGCACTAAGGATGGAAAAACAACTGAGGAATGGCATGAAAGATTTAGAGGAATATTACAAAATTGACTGACTGGGAAGAGAGATAAAGGGGTGAGAGGAACAGAATCTATAATACTGTATAGTTGTGGATTTCCATCTACTTGACAAAAAAATACGAAGGAAAAGGAAAACTGTACGTCGGTACATAAATGCTGGAATAGTATGAAAATACCACAAGCAAGGAGTAGTAGACAGCACACTGCTCAGGCCAGTGAACAGACAGAAGGCTTGCTTGCTAACAACAAAATCCATTGGCAGGCTTGAACCTATTTTAAGGCATGCTAGAGTGACAGAAGCTAGTTTGTTCAAAGGTGTTTTCTTACTGCATCCTGCATCCCAGTTCATCATCAGCAGTATTCACTGTCAGAGCCAAACTGACCTTGGCTCAAACACAGCCTTGCATGCCTGCCACAGCATTCCCACAGGAATTGCTTCTCATCCAGGTGATCCAGTAGACTAACCAGCATCTATGTACTCATATGAAACTGCAGTCTACTGAATCATCCTCCTGGATGAGAACCATTGCCTAGGAAGTGGTACAAAACCAGTCATTTCATAAAGAGGCCTGGTCCATTTTGGCTGTTGGAGTTCATCAGTCTCATAAACTGGAGCTATTGTGAAATACAGAAGTAGCCAGCACTGGACTCTCTGACAATCAAGTCTTGGAAACAGCTTGCAAATCTGCCCAAGCTATTGTAGTTTGAAGCCAGCTGCTCCAGAAGCAGCAGCTATATTGCTTTCAGTGATAAATTCAGTCTGAAATCAAAACAGCCCTGGATAGCAGATCCTCTACCCATGAAACTGACAAATCCACCACTCAGATAATCCAGCTGACGTAAATGAGAATTGACTATAAACAAGCACACCAAGAGATATTATCTTTTTCCACTTGTGCATTAGCTGTAGCAAAACTTCCCTACTTAACTCAATCTTTTCTTTATAGAAAACCCACAAAGTAAAGGCAACAAAGATACTAGCAACATAGTCTGCTGTATAAATAATTGCTGTATAAGCATAGCTACACTTGTTTTTCTGGTCTATCTTCCTTGTTCATTCTAAGGATAACAATATGCAATTAAATTAAGGGCAGTAGAAAACTCTGAATATTAAGGTCAGTGTCTGGGTAACACAGGCTACAGCCAAGACCTAACATGGGGTAGAAGTGGGAACAGCATTTCATGTAGACAAGGCACCTTCATATCAGCACTTCAGACCTAAAAGACAGAGTGATTCCAGCATAGCTGTAATCAAAACATCTACTAGAAGGAAACACTTGACAAGTAACAGCTTTTTAGGGACATATTTCCCATAGATATACAACAAAGTAAAATCCCTGCAAAGACTTACACAAAGTCAGGCTGAAGAAAGAATAGAACTTGCTACAGTAATTTATCATGTACTGAACAAAGCTGTTCAGCAAAAATAAAACATTTTCTTGTTGCTTTGTTTTCATATTATCCATATGGCTTTCAGTCTCGAGCTGTCAGAGCTGCTGAGTAAATGTAATAATACTGCAGAATCTGTAAGTCACGTTAGAAATCACTTCAGCAGGTCAGATTCTTATATCTGTGACCTTTCAGTATTAAGGGGCCAGTCCTTTCTGATGCAATCTCACTATGCATCAAAGAAAGATCCAATTTATAACTCCTGACAAAGCTACAGCCCAGAGATGACTGTTCTGAAATGTGCCTGGAGCATTAGTATGATGAGTTGAGTCTCAGGCAATGTTCATAATTCTGGGCTCTGAGTCACACTATTTTGCTGTCCTACCTGTTCTGTGAGACCTTTTGTGCAGATTTAACTCTGCTCTCACACAGGTGCTTCAGCAGGCTTGGGTTGTGGTTCATATTGTATTCTTTTTTCGTTGAGGTTGCACAGCTCTTTTGAAAACAAACCCTTCCCTGCTGCTCTTTAGAGTCTTCATTGGAGACTCTGTTGACTTAATACAGAAGTCTTCAAAATTGCAGCTCCCAAGCAATCTGGGAATCAGCAACTCTCAAAGAACCACAAGACATCTGTATATCTGTCCCCAAAATTTCATAAATACCTTAAAAATAATTTCATCTCATTAAGACTGTTTGTCCAGAGGCAAGTCAACCTCCAGTAATTGTGCAAGGACATTCAAATTATAACAGGAAGTATGTCTACGAACTCATGAAGGATTGCACAGGCACTGTGAGGAAGAAATGTAGCACTTAAAATACAGAGTTGTACAAGACACCACAGACTTTGAGTAGACAACAAGGCTGTGACTGATGGAGGTCCTCCCCAGAGGCTGTTAACAAGGTTATAAAGATTCCCAAGATAAAAACATGTCAGAACTTACATTATAATTAACATATGATGATCAGCTCTCTGTGTGAATAATGTACACGTTTGTAAGTGGAAGCAGAGTTTTACTAAACCTCCTTTTAGAGCTACTTACACTTGTACCTGATTTGAACTGAATCACCTCATTTAAGAAACATTTTCTGAACTAAATAACGGGCATATCATCTATTGATCTCTCTCATTACATTTAATTGTGCAACAAATTAAAGATACAAGAGCCCACCAGGAGCCCACTGGTGTGAATGAACAGAAATTAAATGTGTGTTACATTTGAGTGACCAGTAATTGTTGAGAACAGGAGGCTTTTTTTGGTAGGAGCCAGGCTTAGGAGACAGCCTCATTAGATGTGTCATTAAAGGGGGCCAACCATAGCTATCCCTCCACCCTGACCAAGTCAGTGAAGTAGCACAAGCTCTTTTTGGGTGTGCATCTCTTCATCAAGGTACAACAGGGCACTATTAAGGGGCAAAACTCATAGTTTTCCAGGGACAATTATACCTGGAATAATGAGGGGAAATATAGGAAAACTCAGTTCGACTTTTACCTGCCATAAGCTCAGGAGGAAACAGACCACTGGGCTACCAAATGAAGCACACTGCCTAGGCAGCTCTAATGGGTTAATCCTGGCTGGATTCCAGGCACACACCAAAGCTTCTCTATCACTTTACAAATGGACAGGGGAGAGAAAATATAATAAAGGTTCCTGGGTTGAGATAAGGACAGGGAGAGATCACTCACCAATACCATCATGGGCAAAACAGGCATTAACTGGGGATATTAACTGAATTTATTAGTAACAAATTCAGAGTAGGATAATAAGAAGT